CCAAACCTAAGTTCAGGGAAAGGCTGTCCCTGGTAAACTCTTCATTCCTTTTCGCATGGTCTCCCACTGCTGTGAAATGGGTCTTTGTTGAAATGGGACACAATCTGGGGAAGTGTTAGAGACCAAATTGAGTAAAAAATGGCACACACAAAACAGAGAGAGGGGGCAAGGTATTTTAGTGAAAATGATGTCTACTTGCAAGGAATCATGTTTCATATAGGATATGAAAACTCACTAAAGGTGAGGTTAGATCAGCATAAGAATTTATTTTTTCTACCAGAGAGTTCAAGCACCTCAGAAAAATGAAGCCACATCATTTTTTTTTTAATCCAGGTTGCAAGGATTTGGATCAAAGGGACAGCAAATAGGAAGGGTACTTACTCATCTTGATCTCACTTGTCCTGCATAAAACCAACTTGCAGCTGACAAAGAACATCAACTTTTATCAAGTTGTAGTCAGAGTGATACATAAAGGCAACTAAAATTTCCATGCAGGGACACAGAATGTACCACTCACTTCTATTTGTGTATGTGTGTGCATACTCATGTGCACATGCATATATGTATATGAGTTGTGTTTACATAATACAAATATACAAAGTTTCATGTTTTCCATATAAAATCCAAGGCAGTAAATAAAGATGATTACAGTTGACCCTTGGTGTCCATGAGTAGGTGGTTCCAAGAAGACTGCCATTGAGAAGAACCCACGCCTGCTCAGGATGCAGACCTCAGCACTGTGCTGTGGACGCTGGATTCATTTTTCTTATAATACTGCACGACTTCCGCTACACACATGCCACATCTCCTTTTCAACAATTACACATTTTCACTTTGTCACTTAAATTAAGCACATCAACTTTTTACCTTGCATTTGGGACACCATCTGCTTTGGGGAAGGCAGATTTTCACAAATTAAGGTCAGGGAAACAGCAAAAGACATAATTTAAACACAACTGACAACACAGGAATGACAACGCTTCTCTGCACCAACTAAGCTACATAATATGTGTGGGAACTTAAAACTTTCGTTTTTGAAATTTTATTTATTTATTTATTTTTACTGTGCCTGGTTAAAACCCCATGTAATAAATCTGGGAATAAGGCAGGTTTACTATATTAACATTTTGCAGAAGGTGAACTTGAGGTATAGTAAAATTGAGAGATTTACTTAAGTTCTCTTTAGCTGGTTTTATTTATTTATCATGAATACCAAGTCTGTTGCTGCCACAAAACAATTTGTAGTCACTTCAGTGCCAAATGGGGCTGGTGGCGGTCTGGAGATACTCTACTGCACCATGCTGCTCCAAAGGGAAGAAGAATATGGTGAAAGAGTTCTGTATTTAAGTCCTAACCCTGCCGCTTCCCTTTTGCAGGGTTTACCACTCTGCAAACCTCAATCTTCTTATCTGTAGAACAGGATGAGAACAGAATCTGTCTCCCAGAGTTGATGGGAAGCTTGAACAAGATAATGGTTAAACAGCTCAGTCCAGCATGTGGCATGATCAACTTACAATGATGGATGGTGGCTGTGAGTGAAGCTTTTCGGTAAATCTATAGTTCAGCCTCTGCTTTATTTATTCAGTCCTGCGTATGATGCTATTTTTGAGAACAGAAATTGGCCTTTCTTAATAAAACAAATGCACTAACATCTTAAGAATTCCAGAGGGTTTTTGGTTTTGTCTTAATGGGAGAGGGATCTGGCTCCCACAGGAACAAAGGGAGAAATGTGTAAACCCACTTGCAATGATAGAAAAGCCCTGTTTTGAGCCTTTGTGCTGTGTGTCGTCATCTCACTACACCCTGCCCCCTGCACAGGCTTGCAGATATCACACAATGCTCTCTCTTTTAAATGGCAGGGTTACAAGAATGTACAGTTTAAAATCTGCATTTTGCAAAGGATGCACATTATTTTCAAGTCTGGGAACCTTCAAAATAATTTGGTTGCCTTCTGTGTTTTGTCTCATTAGGTAAAGACAAAAAAGTTCTAGTTGCTTTTTTAAACCAATATACAGCTTGTGTTTTAATTAAAACAAGAACCAGGCTCATGACCAGAGGGGAAAAAACCATGAAATACAAAGTCTAAACTACATAATAGGGCTAAGGTTGGAGAGTAAGAAGAGGACTTTTGAACTCCAGCATGGTTTTTGTAAACATCTTTTTCAAATGCAATGTGTGCTTTCCTACCCATTCCTGCCACTCAACCAGGAAAGAGGCAAAAGGGCTGTCCAAGAAAGAGGTTTACAGAATCCTAAAAATGAAAGCATGTTCATGGGAGACTACTTTTCTTTTTATACCCGCGAGTTAACACACTAAAAACATGCTCAAGTTCAGTTCCAGCATTTAAACAATCCCCATTTAGTCCTTAAGGCAGCTGTAACATTCACTGCTCCTACTTTGCCTAAATCGCTGAGAACAATCAGTTCACTCTTTATGAGGTTATTTTCACTTCTTCTCCATGAAATCATTAAACAAGAACAGTATGTTTAAGGTATTAAACTTGAATCATGCTGAACTATGATAAAGTCATCTATTAATAATGCTGGAGAGGATGCCAAAGTACAGCTTCCTCAGTTTCTAGGGGATTTCTCATCCTCAGTACCACCAACATTTGGGGCTGAATATTTCTTGGTTGTAGGGGACTGTCCTGTGCATTGTAGGGTCTTAGCAGCATCTCTGGGCTCTACTCACTACAGACTACTAGCACCTCCCAGGACAACAAGGAAAAATGTCTCAAGGTATTGCCAAATGTTCGGTGAGGGTGGGGGGACAAGTAACATCACTGCAATGTGAACTGCAGCAATAAACTACTTTCATCTGGAAGAGGCAGCCAACTTGACACTTTATATAGGAAATTTGTATCTTCAGCTTCAGTTTCATCATCTGTGAAATGAAGATGATAACAGTGCCTTCTTCAGAAGATTTTTATGAGTATTAAACAGATAATGCCCATGCCATAGTAAATGCTCAGTAAGTGTTAAGCCATTGTTATTGTTTTAATCCCGATTAATGTTTAAATGCAGGTTAAAGATCCAAATAATAGTGTGGTGACACTATTACAGATGGACATCTTTATTTATGTTTCAGAATGGTCAAGTTATAGAAGCTCAGCTATTGCATAATTCTGTAGCCTAATTTGCTAAACAGCTTTAGTTATTGCTTAACATATTTTATCTTTCAAGTAGAGCTTCCTAATTCATCAAAATTATGGGCTGCTGCCAGCTGATTCTTCTGTAAATACAACTGCTCTGTTGTACTTAAAAAAAAAAATCTTGACATCATGCCTGGTCTTTTCCCTGGAGTTCTTTCTTCATCATTGGTCATATAAATATTATTATATTATTCATTGAAATAATAACAAAAGCTACCATTTTACGGAGTAACTTACTATGTGCCAAGCTAAGTGTTTCACATGTATTATTTCACTCAACCCTCAAAACAATCTTAAAAAGCTAGTTATCTCAGAAAGGTAAAGTGAATATGCTACAAATCATCCAGCCAGCAAAAGTCAGAGCAAGGAAAGAGCCCAGGCCAGCTGCCTTCAAAGCCTGTGTTCTTAAAATCCAACCTTATTATGAAACCTCAGAGATACCACCCAACTCCGAATCATAACACAAAGCTCCTTTTCTACAGCACCTTCCATCCTTTCCACACACCCCACACTATCATTCACTCTCTTGGCTTCTCCCCACTCAATTCAAAACACTTTGAGGGGAGTGATCATAAAAGAATCACACTCTGAACAATTTCTCAAGTCAAACATAGTGATTGAGAGACAGACAGATGGACTGACAGATAGACATCATGGGAAGGAGGAAACTCACTTCACCTTAGTCTGAATGAGGACTAATAAAAATTGTCTGGAAAATGCAATAAGGGAAGGTTGAATTCACATTTCTCCAAGCACAAAAAAAAGGAGTCATACAAGATTATACAAAATAGGAAATTCGTCAAACTCATCCCAGTAACCTCATTCTCATGTACAGTATACATATTTTACTGAAGGAACAAAGCAGAGAAATAAAGCTTCTGCCAGATGCATATTATAGTAAGCTCTTTTCTGTGAGAAATTTCCAGTGGTGGCCCAAACTCCAGGCCCTGAGAGATCAACAGAAGATGAGCTCCCAATAGGAAAGTTATGTGGCTACGTCAGAAACGGCATCTCATTCCATGCTGAGATGCCAAGGTGGCTGGAGCTCTACAGGCCAACTATGTGGCTCTGGATAAACTGCACTCGGCTCTAAGCAGGATGCAGGTAGAGATTCACCTAGAGCAGCCTTGAGTGAACCTGGAAGAAACAGGACATGTGCGCACTATGGGAGCAAAGAGACTCATCAGCCCACAGCATTTCAAAGTCAAGGAGGGGTCTCAGAGGTCAGTCCCCTATTGAATTTCTCAGTATTCCCAACAAGTGTCCAATCTGTGCATTGATACTTCCAATGGTTGGAAAATTCCCTTTATTTTTCATTAATAAATAAGTATCAACTTGGCTTCAGTTTGTGTTCCTGCAAACTCTGGAGACTACTGGCTGTGAAAAGGCAGCTATGTAAGGAAACTGGAAATTAAAATTCTTAGGGTTAATATGTGCATATAACGGAATTTTAAAATCTACTCAGTCAATAATTTTGATGACATTGGAACAGATTAGGAATGGGGAGCTGGCAGAGTGGCAGAGCTCCTTCCTAGCAAGCGCAAGGACCCAAAGACCTGAGTTTAAATCCCAGTGACACCAAAAAAATAAATAAATAAATAAAAATAAAAATGGAGTGAGAGGCTCAGGGAGATCAAGAGTGCCCTCCCCAGATCACACATAGTTAGGCGGCATTCACAACTTGGCCCAAAGGCCTCCAAACCACACTGTGTCTGTCACACTAGGTTTCTGTTTTCAATTCATAAATGTACTTGGAAGAACTGCGGATATATGAACTATCACAGAGAGTGGCCCGTGAGGTTGATAGCAGAATATCCTGAAAGTGTTGGCTGTGAGCAGTAATACTTACAGATATATCATCACTAAAGTCAATTTCATCCAAATCAAGGTATTCAGGGGCTTCCATTATTCTTCTTTGCACATTTTGAGTATGTTTAAATACTTATAATTTCCTGGACAAGATAGAAGCAGAAAAGAAAGGCAAAAAAGTTAGTTACTTAGCATTAAAAATGTAAACAAACAAAATAAGAAAGAAAGTTTAACCGGGGACTGGTGTTGCCTTGGAGCATTTTCTCTCTCCAAAGTTCCCAGCTTTCTTTCTGGAGCAGGAGGCACAGACTTGTCATGACAGTTTCCCCACTGAGCACCCACAATCCTTTGTTTTACTTAATTTGTGCCTGCTTGTCTTTGCCAGAGTAGTAACTGGGGTCAGAATTTTCCCTTGTGATAAATATTAGGATTCACTGCAGTCCACACTTGGTTCTCACCACACCCTGGGTGAAAGGGAACCAACCTGAAAATTTTAGGGAGATCATATTCAAATATTTCCTATGAGCATATCCTTGAACATTGTGCATGGAACAATGATCTCTCCTCAGTAATCATACAAATATAAGATAGATACTAACTAATCAAGGTAATGGATATGTAAGAATTTGTAGTATAACCTCCAATGCAACAAGAAACACACACACAGACTCACAGTCCAATTTCAGATTTGAATTGCAGTTATTACATTGTCCTCTGCCTTAAACAGTTCTCACTGTGGCAGTGACCTGACACAGGATCCAGAAGGTCCTCTGTCAGCACTTGCCTCAGGGCTGCCTGTGATGATCTTTTAAACCTGTTGAGGTAAGATAGATCACCTCCTACTTCATTTCCTCATCACTCATCATCATCACCATCAGCGGTGACAGTGGCACCTACAGATGTCAAGAACAGAAATATAGATTTCTAGCCAGTGTCGTGGTGTGCAATTATCTTCTGCCACCTCTCAGATATTGAAAGAAGATTTCATTTCCCACAACTTGTTTTTCTTATTATAAAAACTGTCTTATGTACCCAGACTTGAGTATTTGAAATGATTCATTTTGTCCTCCTGGTTCTCTAGTCAAGGTGTGCCTTGCTGATCTGCAAAGAGACATTACTAGAAGACAAAGGTTCATCTAGGCTGATGAAAATGGGTTTCCCTATTTAAGATCAAGAGTGTAAAAAGCCCTATTTAAAAAAAATGAAACATTTTAAATGCATTGCTTTCTTATTTTGAGCTGTTCTTTTTTAAGGTACAAAATATCATAATTATGATAAACAGAAAAATCATATTACCAAATTTAATTTTCCATGTTTCCTGTCCTTCCCATCCCATGGCATGTATCACTTTTACATAGTTTTAATTACAGTAGATACAGCCCATCCAAGAAAGGCTTAGGGTGCTCCTCCATGCTTAAATGAGATTAGCCATTTAGGATATATGGATAAAGTTCTGAAATCACTGTAAGTTTTAAAAGGAAAAGAAATCAACTTGTACTTATAAAAAAATTTAAACCAGAAATTTTATTATTCATAAAAATCTAAAAATAGGTTTTCAAGCAAATTCCTTTTTATAAAAATGCATTGCTTTTTTCCCTCTAATCCTCACAGAGCTTCCAGAGGGAAACACACACATTCATACTTGCAATTTACTCAAAACAACTTTCTCCCATTCAGATGGACTCTGAGATAATCCAGACTGCTTGGATTCTAGCTCATCAACTAACAGCCTTTCTTCCAGTCCAATTTCTTTACATTAAGTCGGTCCTCCACAATGGATCATTTGGATGGTTGATCCACAGACTATCTCATGGTCTTGGTGAACAACACAAAGATGATGCTGGGAGTTAGGATATGGTACAAACACAGTGTGGAAGCAGCACCCTAGTCCTTTCTTGGATAGACTGTCTACTATAAGTATAACTATACAAAAATGATACATGGCAGTGGAAAGGGAAGGACAGGAAACATGGAAAATTAAAAATAAATTAGGTGATGCATTTCAGGTATGATTGTTGTCTGTTTATTATAATTATATCATGTTTGTAACATGATAAATGTCTGTAAAATGATAAATAAGGAACAGCTCAAAATGAGAAAGCAATGTATTCAGAATCTCAACATGGAAATATGAGGCAACAAAGCATAAAAACAAGTATCAGGGCTGGGGACCAAGTGGACCTTTTAACACAGAGAGATACAAAGACAAATTCAAAATGCAGATGAAGATTCCTTAACTAACCAAATTAACAATTAATCATCAAATTAATTAATTTGAGGTGCTCTGACAAAAGAGAAGATGATGTCTTCTTAAGTGTAGTCATTCCAACAGAATGTAACTGTAGGTAATATAAATCATGACATCAAAACAGAAAATCTTTGTATTTGCCCTTGGAGGATGGCAGTGACATTCTTTATTCTATAAGTCAGAAGACAAAAGACATAGCCCACAGCTTATGTCTGTCTGGGTGGATGACCCAGCAAGCTCTGTGGCATCTGGAGCCTTCCTTTACTTCTTAAGCAGGCCTCCACAAACAGCCACCTTCTTTAAGATGTCTTACTCTGTCTTTTTTCCAAGGTGCCACTTTGAGAGTATTTATATAGTCGCAATGAGCAGAAACCCCCATGGTTCACCAATCCTGGCCACATTTCCAGCTTCTTTGTAATCAAAGATGAGTCCACAGTTGTCCTATAGGTCATTACTGTGTCTTCCCCTTTCTCATATGCCCTTCCACTAAGCATGTGCCACCTTCAGGCACTCTCTTCTGAGGGAGTAGGGTTGAAAGGGGAGGGAACGAGGTCAGGCTAGGGCAGCTGCTACAAATGATGCAATAGGATGAGGAAGCTGAGTGGACTTAGGTCAATTTTCTTTTCTTGCTCCTCTGCCACCTCCCACTAATCTGTAATATAAGTCAACGATCCCCTTTTCCAACTGATAACACATGTGCACTAACAGAAAGTCCAGCTACATGGGACACACATCAGAGACCCATGAGCAGAGTCTGGCCCACAGATGTGATTTGTTTGGCCTCAGGAGTGCTTTAAAAATCAAATCAGTTGCCAACTTGTAGACCTTGGGTGATTTCTTACATAATTCTGGGTTTTTGGCTTTGGTTTAAAAAAATACATGAAGCTCTGACGACACAAGTCTGCATTCTCCATGACAACAACTGGCAAGGACTGAGCGGCAGCTGCTCCTACCTGCCTAGGAGGCTCCCCAGCCCACCAGAGCCCCTCCTGGACTGCTCTACTCCTGGGCTGCCTGGCCTGGGGGTGCATTTGAGTGTTTGACAAGTACCACTGCCACTACTCTCCTGTTTAATTGATGTCTCCTGCCAAAATGTTGACTTCATTTGTAGCTTAAGAGTGAATTTGTATTAAGGTCATTTTTAATTTTCATACCACAACGGCAAAAAAATTAATTTTTTTACAAATAAGCTACTGACATGTCACAGTTTGTGCTTTCACAGAGTCTCCATTTTAAATTAGTAGTAGAAAAGAAAACCTTCACAAACATAATAAAATGTTACGAGGTAAGGATTATGTTTCCTTCACTTTCCTACCGGTGGATGAGGAAGGAGGGACCTTGCTTTGTTGTGACTGGTGTGGGTTTACATGGTGTCACTTCACTGCTGTGAGTAGAAGGGGAGTGAAGAAGTCAGCCAAGTGCAAGCCGAGAAGACCCAAGGCCATCCAGCACCAAGGCAAGGGGGCTCCCCTTTCTCAGGCTGACAAGCATGGGTTTATGCCTGAGTAAACAATATTTTTCAGGCTCTCCAGAAAGGGTACTTCAGCTTGAATCCTTTGAGTGACACTTCTATTGCCATGCATCAGAGTTGGCCATAGGCCCCTTTGGGATCTCAGGACCTCATCATTTGTAAGTTTGTACTGTACCCTGTACCTGCACACCATCAGCACAGATCCTACAAGCTTCGGCCACCATCTTAGGTTCTCTGAGGTCTCCTAAGGGCTTTTGTTTGTATTGAAGACTATGTTGACTGATTGAAATCATCCTATTTCGATCTCAACTGGGCTTTTAGTTTCTCTTGATGACATTGACAATTTTTAATTTATTACTCACTTAGGTTAGGCAGGGGATGGAAGAGAAGAGAAAGGTAAAGGAAATGTTTTTCAATAGCTTAGCTGTCCTAATTTGGGTAGAAAAGTTGACAGATAGGGAAAGAAGAAAATATTAGAATGTGGGGCACAGAGCCAGATGGCTGGGACCTGTGTGCTGTGCAGAAGTTGCGGTAACATCTTGGTCTCTTCCTATGGATGAGCCAAGTCACCAGAGGAAACCTTACCCAAACTCCAGGCTGATGGTTGGCTTGAGGAGATAAAGAATGAAGTAAAAAGCATCAACCATGTACAACGCTCGTCCAACTCATGAGGAAAACTTTCATAAACTGTCAAGAGCAGAAGTCCCTCTGGTGCCTGTTAAAGTGTGTGTGTGTGTGATGGTGGCAGGGGGAACATGTCCCTAATGGGTCTGTCAACACCATGTCACCTTCTCATGAATGACCTCAAACATGGCCCAACTATGTCCTTCAAATGAAGATTCAGTTAGGAAACAGCTCAGAGCAATGAAGACTCAAGCATGATAATAAAAAGCAGCCAAGTTTTTAAAAATAACCTTCCTCTACCTCTGTATTACTATTTTCAGGTGATTTAAAATTTCTTTGTTGTTGTGACTTGAAAAAACTGACTCTGAAAAATCATCCCAAATGAAAACTTCCAAAAATCTGGTGGGTAATGGCAACATCACTGGAAAAAGCTTACAATGGCCAACAGAATTCTCTGAGAAACTCAGAGAGAACCCTCATCTCAATGTACACACTCTGGTGTGCTTGGCTCAAAGAGACTCACTGACTTGTTACTACAGTCACATATCACATGAACTGCCCCACTGAAATTCTTTTGAAAATGTATTGCCTCACTCCATTTATAAGGAGTCAGTATGGACTCATTCTGAAGGCTCCGGTTACACACATTTCTCCTTTCCTGCCAAAGTCACTATTCCTAGTTACCAGTATACTATGCGGCCTGGTAATTAAAAATAAGCTGGGCTTGTCAAAATAAATGAGCAGAGTATATTTAGTGATGAGGTAACTTCAAATTGATTTGCCTTACAACTTATTTCTTT